TTTAGGGTTTAGGGTTAATGTTGTTGCAATTGTTTGCCTGGTTGCATACCAATTTATACGTTAGTACTTTCCAATTTCGTACGTGATGTGCGGTTACATGCTATATACAGTACCCAAAGACGTTTATGCTAGCACACATGACCCCATACACATACATACATATACAACATGCATGCGTACATACGTAGATACATCCATCCATGCGCGCATGCATGCATGCATGCANNCATGCATAAATACATGCATAAATACATGCACACAAACGTTAAATGTATTGAATCTTGCACTATGTATATAAAATATGCTGTTATATACGGTCACGTTCTGCTAAATGCCGTGTGTTTTTTGGTAGTTTGCTGTTGCTTCGATTTCTATGTTTCCACATGTTGCGTCCTCTGTGCTTTAGATTGTTGCTTCCCCCTCTCACGTTTTGCCTCGTGGACAGGCTGGGCTCTGGCTAACGACCCGGTCGCTAAACGCGACCTGCAGCTCGTGCCCTGCCGGGCGCTACTCCGTGCTCCTGGAGGATGCATTTGGCGCCACGGCGGTGTGCCGCGCCTCGGCGCAGAACGGAGGGAGTGCGAGTGCGCTAACGGGGGCCCGAGCTGTCTGAGGTCTTTGCCACCCGGGCACCAGCTGCCTGACAGAGCTTATAGAGTTTCGTCACTTTTTCCCCCAAAATAGTATTAGTATTCATATAAGCCTTTAGGCCCCTGAACCCTTAAACCCTAAACCCTAAACCCTAAACCCTAAACCCTAAACCCTAAACCCCTAAACCCCTAAACCCTAAACCCTAAACCCTAAACCCCCGAGGCCAGGAGCAGGCCATGTCTGTGAGCTGCGATGTCTGCTTGCCTGGCACCAAAGCGGATCAGTGGGGCGCGACGCAGTGTGAATGGTGCCCGCAAGGCCGGAGATTTTAGGGTTTCAGGGGTTTAGGGTTTAGGGTTTAGGGTTTAGGGTTTAGGGTTTAGGGTCCCGCAAGGTCGGAGATTTCAGTTTCAGGGGGTTGGCCAGAAGAAGTGAAACTGTGTAGAGCTTCCGCTCAGCTCCCAACTTTAGGACCCATCGTCCATTGAGTTTCTTCCGACATCTCCACTCCGACATTTCGTGTTATGATGTTGGTGACTACCACTATCTTCAGTTTTGAGGTTGTTGGTTCAGCCAAGGGTTGAAGTCAAAGCCCTGAACCCTATAGGATCCTTATAGAAGGTCTATATACCTTATGGAAGCCTTATAGAAGCCCTATATACCCTAAACTCCCCACGTGTAGTTTCGTTTAACCTATACCCTAAACCCTCAATCCGTGAGGACACCAGGACCTCAAGCGCGTTTTTGCTTTGCCTCTTGTTGTCAGGCTGTGCTCGGTGATCTATGTTCTGTAGACTGCATCAGAAGCGAAAGACTCACCGCTGTGGCAGACAGAAGCAGTGAAGTACTTTTAAGATCCTCCTAGATTCTCTGGTGCAGATGTTGTCTTTTACCAGAAGTGTATGCAGATGTTAGTGTGCCTGGTAGAAAATGTTGCCGTTGGCGATCTGGTTCTCCGACAGAAGGTACTCTCTTTTGATGTCGCCATGTGAGGCTATTTTGTCTAGGGCGGATAGACCGCAGTGGCAAGTACCTCATCAGACTCATATTCCTTCTCCGATGGCAGCAAGTTTCAAAAATAGGCGGGTTGATGGACAGACTGCACAGCGCTGCACACTGTGCTACTCCAGCCATGGTGCTTGTGATGCATGAGGTGCTGACCTGCATCTTCTAATAAAACTATCAAAAGGTGTCTATAGAAACGTTCGGTGCTCTCTCCCTCCGCAGGCCAGTACCAGCGGGAGAACGGCGCCACAGAGTGCAGAAGCTGTGAGGAAAGCAAGACCACGATAGCCTTGGCTTCAACCAGTGAGTGGGATTGTGTTTGCAAGCCGGGCAGGTGGGAGTATTCAGTGACGCCTGAGCTGCGTATCTTCCTGTATCTAGCTCGTGTCCCCTCCTCCTCGCTCGTATATGTCTCCCGAAGGTATCTGTGGAACCAGACGGAGTGCATGCCCTGCCCCGAGGGCATGTATTGTCCGGGCGACAGCTTTCCCGCGTTCCAGCTGGCGGGTTATTATGTGGAGCATTCTTACATCGAGGGACTCAGTTCCTATTCGGTGTTCTCTTGCCGCGACGCCTCGCGATGTCCAGCGGGTGAGCCTGGACAGTGTAATGTTGGGCGCACCGGGCGCGCCTGTGCCGATTGCTTTCGTGGCTATGCCTCCGATGTGGACGGCTCTTGCAAGCCCTGCGATGCTTTGTCTATGTGGCCCTTCCTCCTGCTTCCGATTGTGATGCTGGGCCTGCTGCCGCTGCTAGTGGCAGCCAGCATTCTAATGAGCCGAGCGCGGAGGGTGGCCGTCAGCATCTTTATCGTCTGTGTGATCTTCGGGCAGCTGGTGGTGTGCTTGCAGTCCCTCGAGGCTTGATTTCAGAAGAGCTTCTAGATTCTAGATCCACTGGTGTATAGTTTCTTGCCCAGCACTGTGTGAGGCCATCTATCAATTCGAGATCACCTGGATCGACCCTGCGAGGGCCGTTTTGTCCTCGCTGGCCATCTTCAGTTTGGACATCGAGTTCTCCTGCATCTTGGATCCGCAGAGCCACGTCGTGGAGTACGGCTCTCAGCTCTTGGCCTACCCGGCGGTGCTGCTCGGGACCGCCGGCTTCTGGCTACTCGCCAGGTGGCTGAAACGGCCGATCAGCTTCAACTCCTTCCTGAACCTACACGGCGTGCTGCTGGTGGCACTGCTGACGGCCATGTCCCTCACCGCGATGCGGCCCTTCCAGTGCCGGCCAAACCCTAACGGCCTGCACACCCTGTCCACGCGCACGGACGTCATCTGCTGGAGCCCGGAGCATCGGCCTTTGGTGGTTCTGGCCTCTTTGGGCATCCTCGCCTACCCTGTGGCCATACTTTCCACCATCGCCTTCCTGACGTGGAAGTATCCCACTTGGCTTCGGTCTGGTGGAGGCCTGGAGGTGCTGGAGAAGTACAAGTTCCTCTTCGGCCGCTTCCGACCCGAGCGCTACTACTACGCTTTGCTGCTTTCCACGCACAACATGGTCGTGGCCTTGATCCCCGCAGCTTTGGTGTCCGCGCCCGCCCTGCAGGTGGGCATCATGGGCGCTGTGATCTGCACGAAGCTAACGGCACAGAGCCTGCTGTGGCCCTGGCGCAGCGACGCTGCCACCTCAGTCGCAGAGCCAGCCCCACCGCATGGGATTCTCACGTTGCAATTTAGGTTCACATCTTGCCTGTGTTCTTTACTGTGCTAGTCGACAAGGTGGCCAACTACAACGACCTGGTCCTCTCCACCGCCCTTCTGATCCTGTTGCTCCTCGCATCTCCACTGCTGCGCCTGAACCAGACGGACACCAGCTTCCTCGTAGCTTTGTCATAGTTGGGAAACATTTTACATTTTTAAGGGTACTTAAACCCAATAAGGAATATACAATTTAGATTTCTAATACTACCCCAACCATGAACTAGGTGGCGGTGCTGCTCGCCTGCGTACTCTGCGTCTTGCCTTTGGCGGCGCTCTCCTCAGCCTGCCTGGCTGTCTCCGTGCGCCTGCGGTCCCAGAGCAAGTACGATGCCTTCCTGTGCCACCACAAGGCGGGTGCCGGGGCCCTGTGCCGCTTCTTCAAGCTCATCGTACACAAGTACGGCCGCATGAACATCTTCCTGGACTCCGACGAGCTCGACGACCTCGCCCGCATCTTCGAGATCGTCAGCTCCGACACGCGGTGCCTCGTGGCCGTGCTCACGCCCGAGCTACTGCAGCGTGCCCGGGCTGCAGTTTTACTTTTCTGGTTTGCCCCCGCTCTTTACCCCACCAAGCTTCTCTCTCCGAGCGCCAGGCATGTGGTGTGCAGGGGAGATGACGAGTGCCCGAAAGTACGGCATCCCCATCATCCCGCTCTACTGCGACGGCTTCGCCTTCCCGGACGACGACTGCATCAACAAGATCGAGTCCGTGTGGACCGAGGAGCAGCACTACACCTTGACGAGCCACGGCATCGCCATGGAGGATATCAAGGCGGGACGATTTTCTGCAATTTCTGCTCCCGTCTGTTTAGTGCAATGTCTTGCATGGGAGGCCACCTACCGGCACATCAGCACGCTAGAGGGCTATGCTCTGAGCCGGCACAGCAGCCTGGAGGAGCAGGAGCGCCTGGTGCTGGACGTGGCCGCTGCCGTGCTGCGAGGCGGGGGGGAACACCTGGCATGCGGCATGCGGCACGCGGGGCAGCGTGGCACTGCTTTCCCTGTTTTCCCTCCCCAGGCGCTCGGCGGGTGGAGGTGGCGGCGCAGGGCTCCGTGAGCAGCGCGCGCATCCTGCTCTGCTCCACCGAGCGGGATCCCGAGGCCATCTCCACCGTGCGCCTTGCCGGCAGTGGAAGCCCGTCATCTCTTTTTGACCTTGCAAGCTCGCGTGCAGAGGCTGATCCTGCAGCAGATGGTGCAGCAGCAGCTCCGCATCGCCACCTTCCGCGTTCGGAGTTTGAAGGACATCGCGGCGGCCAGCAGCGCCTCCTTCGCGCTGGTCTTGTTGAGCAAGGGGGTCCTCGAGGACCCTGACTTCGCGCTCCAGATCGGGCAGATGCGTGCCACGGCGGCAAGCAGTTTTAAGAAAAGAAAGGTCTGGTATGACATGGCCCGGATCCTTCCCGCCTCCCGCGTGTCAGGAGCTCAGGCGTTGAGCTTTGTGCCCGTGAACGACGGCACCTTCCAGTTCCCGCCGTCAGACTTCTACATGCAGGCGGGCGAGAGCTGCATCCGCAGTGCTCTGGGCTAGATCGGCTAGATGTGGGGGTTTCCGAAAATAGGGGACCCTATTATAGTACCCTAAATAATAGGATCCGTATTATAAGGACCCCTAAATAAGGTACCCCTTATTTTCGGAAACCCCCATGTAGGTATGATAACCTTAATATAGGATAATATAGGGATTTATAGGGACCCTACAAAAAAGTAGGTTTTGGGTTCTTAAGGTAGGTATGACTGAAACCCTAAACCCTAAACCCTAAACCCTAGACCCTAAACCCTAAACCCTAAACCCTAAGCCCTAAGCCCTAAACCTCTAGATGTAGGTATGATTGTTTTCCTCAGGTGGAGGAGGTCGGCTTGGCCGGGCTCGGGCCAAATGCCGGGCGCAGCTTGGTGAAGGCCTACCAGGCCAGCCCATATGTGCTCGTTTGTGCCACAACATCTCTCCATATTTTGGGGCCTTTAGAATAAGGATATTATTTAGGGTACTATATTAGGGTCCCCTATTTCCATCCTTGTCTGTCTATCTGTCTCTTTGCTCTTCTGTCTTTCTCCTTCACTGCTCGCCAATCTGCTTAGTCCTGCCGGCAGGCACTGCTGGGCATCCTCGCGCTGCCCCTGACGCCCCACGCCTCTAGCGGAATCCTCGAGAGGTGCGGGCCGGCCCGCCTGCTTCCCACAGCCTTTTTTTGGCTGAGTCATTGACATGGTACTATATAGGGCCTTAGGGGCGCTAGTACCCTATTATAGTAGGTACCTGGGGGGTTCGGGGAAGATGGCCCCTTCCTCCCTTCCCGGACCCTCTGCAGGCAGGTGACGCAGATCTGCCAACGCTTCGGAAACCTGGAAGACCTGCTCGAGCGAAGGCCAGGCCTCCCGGTGCCGCATTCAGGTTGCAGTGCTCCCCAGACCCTCCAAAACCCCTTAATTAAGGAATATACCTTAAAGTATAGTAGGAGCCCTAATATGATTTAAGGTATATTCCTGAATTAAGGGGTTTTGGAGTCTTTGGGTCCTTCGTTTCTTTTGCCAGGACGCAGTCCACCAACAGAACCACCACCGCCGACGAGGTCGGCGTCGCTGACATCTCCATGTCCCTGACAGGCAGGAAAGCTGCCTGAGAGCTTCTGGACCCTCTCTCTCTCTGCTCCACTCGATCCGCAGATGCAGAGAGAGAGAGAGAGAGAAAGAGTATATATATATATATATACACATGTGTGTGTGTGTGTGTCTGTGTGTGTGTGCTGCAGCGCTTTTTGGTTGTGTGGAAGAAGAGAGAGACAGAGAGAGAGAGAGAGAGAGAGTGTGTGTGTGTGTGCGTGCGCGTGTGCTTGCGTGTGTGCGTGCGTGCGTGCAGCACGGAGGTAAAGCCTGCAATCGATTGAAACATGTTAGTCGAGAGACTTTGCATGACCTGGAACAACCAAACTCCATGCAGGTGACCCAGCAGGTTGCCACAAAAATCATTGTAGTACCATGAGAGCAACGACGAAGCGATGCTGTCAGTATCGCAGTGGCAATCTCTTTCCGAACACCCCATGCTTAACAAGTTGCATAATCCCCAAACCCTAAGCCCTAAACCCTAAACCCCAAGCTAAACCTAAACCCTAAACAGTGATCACACAGTTAACCTAAGTCCGAACAGGACCAAAGCTCAATACAGAAACCAATCGCGTTAATCCTTAAAGTAGGAATCTCAAGCCTCAGGCCTCCCATCTCGCAACCCTAAACCCTAAACCCTAAACCCTAAACCCTAAACCCTAAACCCTAAACCCATATAAGTATAGAGCCCATGTCCGCAGCTGAAGCCCCAAAGCCCAGGCCCGAACCCCCAAAGCCAAAACGCTGGCCCCCCAAGCCCAAACAGGCCCTGATACTTAAAGGATCATGGGACTTAGTAAGTAGGGTTATAATTAGGGTAACTATACTTATAACCCCAATTAAGGGACTTATAACCTTACTTACTAGGTCCCATGATCCTCCAAGTAAAGCCTTAGTATTCGCGTTCGTAGTCTCAGTATTACCATTAGGGTTTAGGGTTTAGGGTTTAGGGTTTATAGTCATTAGTATTATTACTATATAGTACTATGAGTACGTACTAGTATTCTTGGTCTTACTATTTAATTATTCTTCATATCAATAAGCCAACGAGGACCCCCAACTGAAGCCAAAGCAGGGCACTGCTGGTTCCAAATTCGGAAGAACCCCCACAGTAAACTGGGAATGGGCTTAGGGTTTGGGGTTTGACGAGAAGCCCTACGCAAATGAAGAGGCAGGGAGAGAAGCGTCGGCATTGGCCAGCCCCACCCCGGTCCCAACTGAAGGCAGACAAGGGGAGAAACAAACTCAGTCTAGTCTCTCTCGAGCGGTTTGTGCCGTTTTCTCAAATTTTCTCGTTGCATTCGGCTGGTTTGCTTCCCTTTCTCAAAAAGCGTTGTTTGAGAAATCCCGTTTCTCAACAGCTTTGTTTGTCAAATCTAGTCTTGTTGAAGGCTTTGACCGCATTTTTATCCAATTTTCGAGTTCCGTTCCACTAGTTTGCTTCCCTTTCTCAAAAGCTGTGTTTGTCCAATCTTGAAGGGTTTGTGCACCTTTCTATCTAATTTTCGAGTTCCTTTCGACTAGTTTGCTACGCTTTCCCAAAGCTTTCTGATGTTCAAGTCTATCATCTCTCGAAGGGTTTGCACATTTTTCTCGTTCTTTTCGACTGGTTTCTTTGCCTTCCTCAAAAGCTTTGTCTGTCAAGTCTTGTCTGTTTCGAAAGGCTTGTGCAGCTGTTTCTCAAGCTTTCCAGTTCTTCTTGACTGCTTTGCTACCCTTTCTCAAAAGTCTTCGGATCTTCAAGTCTAGTCTCTTACGAAGGGCTTGTGCATTTTCTCAGATTTTTCCAAATCTGTTCGAGTGGTTTGCTTTCCCTTCTCAACGGCTTTGTTTGTTAAGATCTGTTACCTCTTTCGAATATTTTGCGCCTTTTTTCTTAAACTTTCTAGTTCCTTTCGACTGGTTTGCCCCCCATTCTCATCAAACCTAGTCGGTTTGCACGTGTTTCTCAAAATTTTAGACTTGGAGTTCTTTTAGAAATCTAGTCTTTTTCGAACGGCTTGCACCTTTTTCTCAAATTGTCGAGTTCCTTTCGACTGGTTTGCTCCCCTTTCTCAAAAGCTTTGTTTGTCAAATCTAGTCGCTTCCGTGCAGTTTGCACCTTCTTCGCAAATTGCCCAGTCCTTTGTCAAGTTTTCTTCTGTGTCAAAGGCTCTACTGGGGTAATCCAATTCTTCTCAAGATCTCTTCTCCCTTTTTGACTTTCGAATGGTGCATGTCTGTTTCACAAAGTGTCGAAACTCTTTCGATTAGTTTGCACCTCTGTCTCAAGTTCTCCTCTGCGTCAAACTCTCTGTGTCTCTGCCGAGAGGGTTTAGGATTTAGGGTTTAGGGGTTTAGGGTTTAGGGTTTAGGGTTTAGGGTTTAGGTTGTGTACTGTTTCTCAGTTTTCTCATCCTTTTCGACCGTTTGGGAAAGGCTTCTGGAGGGGCTTTGTTGGTTGCTTGGGGATTTAAAAAAAAGGTTGCATTTTAAACTTTCAACCGTAAACTCCAAGCCTTAAGACTTTTCGTTGTAGGTTGCGATAGCTGGTTTACTCCTCCTTTCTCAAGTTCTCCTCCTTTTCGTAAACCCTGGACCGTTTCGAGCCCTGTGCTCGGGTTCCTAACACCTTTCTAGTATCCTTCGCGGGTTTGTTTCGAGCGTTGTGCCCTTTTTTCGTTAAATTTGTTGGGTACTTTCGGGCGGGTAGCTCCTTTTCTCAAGTTTTCTAGGAATTTTCGACGGGTTTGTTCCACTTCGTAAAGTCCTTTCCTGCATTGGCTACCCCCACCGGTTCCAATTGAAGGGATATAAGGGGGGCCGAAGTCGACAACCGGCGTTGGCTTACGCAAAAACACCAAGGGGAGACGGTCGTCGATATTTCCGGAATTGGCCACCCACCTGCAGCGCGAGACGTCGGCTTTCTGTTTCAAATTTACAAGAACCTCTACTGAAAAGAGCCTTTGCATCCCGTTTAGAACCCCGGTAAGCCCCATGTAAATCTTTATAAAACCCTAAACCCTAAACCTTAACCCTAAACCCTAAACTTAAACCCTGAACCCTAAAACCTACAAGCTAAGCCCCTTAATGTAGGGGCCTTAATAATCACCTATACTATTTTGGGTGCTCCTTATTTTAATTATAGTATAATGGATCCCAAAACCCCTATTCTAATTATTTTCGCCCTAAACCCTAAACCCTAAACCCTAAACCCTAAACCCTAAACCCTAGTCTAATTATTAAGGCCCCATACATTACGTGCAGAAGCCCACGGGTTCAAATGCCAGGCTTCGATGACGTGGACTTGGACACCTCGAAGGAGGCCAACCAGGACCCGAGCTTCAAATGGGAGTTTCCGAAAATAGGGGACCCTAATATAGTACCCTAATAGGATCCTTAATATAAGGACCCCAAAATAAGGTACCCCCAATTTTCGGAAACCCCCAAATTTCTTTGCGTTTGCAGGGCCCTCCTAGGTTTACCTTTGAGGGTTTAGGGTTTAAGTATGGGTTTTAGGGGTTTAGGCTTTAGGTTTGCGGTTCAGGGTGTAGGTTTCAGGGTTTAGTTTAAGGTTTTGGAGTTTTGCACGGTTTCTGCTGGAGGGGGGAGTTTTTAACCCTAAACCCGAAACCCTAAACCAGGCTTTTGAGTTGCAGCGTCAAGTTTACGTTTGCACAGACCACGCGTGCGGTGAAGGTCAGGGCTTGGGCGTAGGCTCGAGGGTTTAGGGTGTCACGGTTTGGGGTTAAGGGTTCAGGGTTTAGGGTTTAGGGTTTAGGTACGTAGTGGCAGCTTTCCGTAGTAGCAAGTAGAGCCAAACCCTAAACCTTAAACCCTATACACCCTAAACCTTCAACCCAAGCCAGTGCGAAGCCCACATGCCAGAGACAAAGAAAAACACAGCCCGTCACAAGGATCTCAGTGAGGATCGCGAAAGCGAGTACTCTGTCCATAAGGACCTCTGGTACACCTGAGATCGGCACTCCGGTTCAGCCTTCAGAGATTTTTCGAAACAAAAGCTTAAAGCCTTGGGGGACTGCGATAAATCGTCAAAGTTCTAGACAGGCCTTTGAGATAGTTCATGTTTTCCCTTCTTCAGCTTAAGAGGATCTTCTTAGGAATAGGGTTCAGAGGCTTTTATAGAAGCCTAAATAGTTACCAATATTACTGTTAGGGTTCCTGATTATACCTATACTATAAAAGAGCACAAGCCCTATTCTAACTATGCAGGCCCCTGCATTAATATTCTAACCTAGACTTCAACCTTAGTGTCGATGCGGGGCTTCTGCTTGGAGATGCCGGGGCAATGGATCCCTTTGAACGTGGACTCCAAAACT